CCTAGCCAGCCTCCTGGGCCCGAGCTCTGAGGAGCAGGAGCGTGTCCGTGTGCAGAGGCGGTTTGACACACGGAGCTGCCCGCGTTGGGGCCCGCGTTGGTTACAGCGGACGGCGTTCTCATTCCAGGGGGGAAGGCCGCCTCCCGCGCTGAAGCCAGGCGACGTGACCGCCGTGCAGCCCTCCAAGAGAGCCAGGTGCGCCGCGCCTCCGCGCTCGGGTCTCCGCGTCTGTCCTGGGAGCGGGCAGGGGGGGCGTCTGCAACAGCTCACGGGGAACAGGCTTCGAAAGAACTTGGGACACCTCCCGGCCGTCGCAGACAGCGAGCGACGGCTTTCCTTTGTTTTATCGAAGAAAGCTGAGCCTTTCTTTAACCTGGACTCCCAGCCTGCGAGAGAAGCTGCGGGCTGGGAGGGGTAGGCGGCCTAGAGCCAGCGAGAGGCACCTCCTGGGGCCCAGCCTCCGTGCGGGCGAAGAGCCCGGTGCCGGGAGCTTCCTCGGCCTCGGGTCCGGGTGTGCCCTGGGAAGGCAGCGTGGCATGGCTGGTGCTGCCCCCTCGCCGCACGTGAAGGTGCCCCTCCAGGTGAGGAGTCCCTGTGTCTGACCCAGGCTCGCGTGTAGACGCGGCCAGCCCGGCAGGCAGTGACCATGCCACGGGCAGGGCACGTGGGAGGTGAGCCCAGGCAGCGCGGCTCTCATTCCTGACGCTGGAAGATCATGTCCAGTTGTCCTTGGCGACTTACGGCTGCGGGGACCATCCTCACCAGTCCCCTCACTGCTCATGCCCTGCTCCCGACGCCGGGGCCGGGCGCGCTGCCAAGTGCCGCCTTTCAGGACAGCCTCACCGACAGACATCTCATGGCTGTGATCAAGTCGCCACAGCAAACTTAGAGTGACATTTTACAGAATCGGCTCATTTAAATGATAGCCGAAAATAAGACGTAGAAAGTAAAAGAAAAGGTTCAGTCTAGAATTTGGGGCTTGAGGTGGAAGACAGGCCAGAATGCAGTGAGGCAGCTCTGGGGCGCCCCGTGCTGCCTGAGCTGGGTGGATGCTGAGCCTGGGGTGCGCCCAGGTCACTGGAGGCCGGCGCAGGGCACGGCGCAGAAGCAGCTGTGATGTGTACTGTCTTTTCACACCCCGCTTTGATGCGTGGGTGGGAGTGAGGAGAAGGGGCCCCAATCAGCACTTGGCCCGGCTTCTCGGGTACGGCCTCCCGCACCGGTTTCCCTGGGAGCTGTCAGTGCGGGGCACGCAGGCAGCCCTCGTTTCTGGAGAGCACTTTTGCACCTCCATGGGCTCCTGTGTCACCCTCCTGCTGCTTCAGCCTCCCAAGTGACTGGGCCACAGGCCCCCCGTCCCTGGTGGCTCTGACACGGCCTCGCTAGCTGCGTCCCATACTGGTGGCACACCTGCCGTCACCTCAGCTCGCGTCCCTCAGTGGGCGCTGCCGCCATGCGCCCC